TGGAAATAACATCAAGAGTCTGGATGAAGAAGATCACTATAAATATCTGGACATCCTTCAAGGTGACAACATCAAGTACACTGAAGTCAAGAAAAAGGTTACTAGTGAATACATCATGAGAGTGAAGATCTTAAAGTCCAAACTCAGTGGAAGAAATACCATCAAGGCAATTAACACCTGGGCAATTCCAGTCATTAGATACACAGCTGGAACAGTGAACTGGATTCAAGCTGAATTAAAAGTCCTTGGATAGGAAGACCAGAAAAATAATGACAATGAATCATGCCTTTCATCAATGCAGCGATGTTGACAGACTCTACCTACTAACGAGCATAAGAGGGCGTGGAATGTTGCAAGTACGCCAGACAGTTGAAGAGGAGAAAGGGGAATTAGAAGAATATCTGAAGGACAGTGAAGAAGATGCACTGAATCTAGTATACCATGAAGGCTTACTGAATACTGAACAGACCAAACAGGCCTACAAGAAAGACCAAATGAAGAATAGAAAAAAGACATGGCAAGGCAAGGTATTACAATGCCAGTACATAGACACACGCACACAAACCTGGGAGGCAAAGCAGATAGCCATTGCCAGGTCTTGATGGTAAGAGCAGGAAAGTTGAAGAAAGTGACCAAGGGGCTAATTCTGGCTGCACAAGACCAAGCCTTAAGAATGTAATGCATACAAAGCCAGAATTGAGAAGACAGCAACAGACAACAAATGTCGCCTCTGCAAAGAAGCTGAAGAAACAGTGGACCACCTAGCTAGCTGCTGCAAGAAGATTGCACAGACTAACTACAAACAAAGGCATAACAACGTAGCAACAATAGTGCATTGGAATATCTGCAAGAAATACCATTTGCCTGCAAGCAAGGACTGGTGGGGCCACAAAGCAGACAAAGTAATAGAAAATGAAGAAGCTAAAGCTCTGGGATTTTAGAATTCAAAAAGACAAGCACCTGCCACACAATACCCCAGACTTAACAATTGTTGATAAGAAAGACAAAAAGGTCTGGATAGTGGACATTGCAATACCTGGAGACAGCAGGCTAGAAGAGAAAGAATTGGAGAAAATCATGAAATACAAAGACCTGCAAATAGAACGACTATGGCAAAAGAAAGCAAAGGTAGTACCAATAGTTACAGGCACCTTAGATGCAATCACAAAACATCTGGATACCACTTGAAGACCATCGACATTGATGAAATCACCATCAATTGCAAAAGGCAGCTTTACTTGGAACAGCTTATATCCTACAATGATACCTTTAACACCATCAAACAACATCTGCCT